TGTTTTTCTCAGCATTTATAAAAATGTTACTTTGGGCTGGGCACAGTGGTTCATGTCTGTAATTCCAGCACTTTAGGAGGCTGAGGCAGGAGGATTGCTTGAGCCCAGGAGTTCAAGACCAAACTCGACTACATGGAGACCCCCTCTCTCCAAAAAAAAAAAAAAAAAAAATTAAAAATTAGCTGGATGTGGTGGCGCACACCTGTGGTCCCAGCTACTTGGTGAGCTGAGGTGGGAAGTTTGTTTGAATCTGGGAGTTTGAGGCTGCAGTGAGCTATGACTGTGCCACTGCACTCCAGCCTGGGCAACAGAGCCAAACCCTGTCAAAAAAAAAAAAAAGAAAAGAAAAAGTTACTTTTTTTTTGTCCTGTGTAGCTTCTAATTAGAAATCCACAGTTATTCAAATAATTGTTCCCCTAGGTGAAATGTATTGTTTTTCTCTGGCTATTTTCAAGACTTTTTGTCTTTAGTTTTTAGCAATTTGATTATGATATATTTTAGCATGGATTTGTTTGAGTTAACTCATTTGGAGTTCACTGAGTTTCTTCAGCCTATAAGATTATATCTTTCCCAAAATTTGGGAATTATTTCTTTAAATAATTTTTTCTGTTTCACAGTCTTTTTCTCCTTCCGAGATCCTAATGCAGTGAATTTAGACCTTTTAGTATTGTCCCACAGATGACTAAACTCTATACATTTTAGTCCATTTTTTTTGTTTAAACTATATCATTTTTAAAAATCTATCTTCAAATTCCCTGGCATACCGTCTCGCCAAACTTATGTTAAGCCATTTGCATCCTCTTTGTATAGTTTACTGTTTTGTTGAGCTTCTCCATCTTTCCAACTGTTTCTAGAGTATTTGCCCTCCTTCTTGATGCCTGGTTGTAATAGTTGTTTTAAAGTCTTTGACAATTCTAGCATTTGTGTTATCTTAGAATTGACATCTGTTGATTGTTTTTTCCCTTATGAGTTGACATTTTTCTGGTTCTTCATAGGCTGAGTAATTTTGGGTTGTATCCTGGACATTTTGATTATTTGGGTTTTATTTAAATCTCAAGGAGAATGATGACTTTTTGGCTTGTTTGTTACCAAGCCTTTGGCCAGGTTAATCTCAGGTTGCAAATTCTGGCCTGCCTTCTGTGAACTGTAGTTCTAATACCAATTCTGTTTCCAAAGCAATTGCAGTGCTATTTGGATCAATCCCATGTGTGTGCTACCGTTACCGGTGGCGAGTGTCCAAGTTACTGGCTGCAAATCTGTACAGGTCAGCAGCACCCTCAATTCTTGCCTCCTCAGAAGAAAGAATTCAGCTGAGGGGTATAAGGCAGGAGAGACCAAGGCAAGTTTTAGATTAGGAGCAAAAGTTTATTAAAAGTTTATTAAAAGCTCTAAAGCAGAAACAAAAGGAAGGAAAGTATACTTAGAAGAAGGCCAAGCAGGTGACTTGAAAGACATGTGCCCCATTTAACCTTTGACTCAGGGTTTTGTATGATGGCTTACTTCTAGGGTCTTCTGTCCCATCTCCCCTGATTCTTCCCTGGGGGTGCCCTGCCCGGATGCATAGTAGCCTGCTGGCACTTGGGAGATGAGAATGTGCAGTGTGGGCCGGGTGCAGTGGCTTATGCCTATAATCACTTTGGGAGGCTGAGGTGAGCGGATCACCTGAGGTCAGGAGTTCAAGACCAGCCTGGCCAACGTGGTGAAACCCTGTTTCTACTAAAATTACAAAAATTAGCCAGGCATGGTGGTGTGCACCCGTAATCCCAGTTACTCAGGAGGCTGAGGCAAGAGGATTGCATGAACTCAGGAGGTGGAAGATGCAGTGAGCCAAGATCACGCCACTGCACTCCATCCTGGGCTACAGAGCAATACTTTGTCTCAAAAAAAAAAAAAAAAAAAAAAAAAAAGAGAATGTGCAATGTGTTTACTGGAGTTGTATGCATGCTCACTTGAGGCGTTCTTCCCTTACCGGTGGAATGGCCCTGCAAGGTCATATACCAGTTAAACTCTGTTATTTTGCCTTTTAGCGCACATGCTTGAGGCCAGTCGCCCAACTCCCAAGATCTTTTTGGGAAGCTGCTGATCACCAGTTTATATGTATTGGGAAACTGCCTTTTTCTGGTGCTGGCTGTGCAACCTGTTACTATTTTAGAGAAGCAGTGTGACAGCTGTCTGACCATCACCTGATGGTTGTCTGAAATTCCTGGTGGGGTTGGGGTGAGGTGGCGGGGAGCCCTTTTCTGCCCTGCTCATGCCTATGGTAACACTACCAGGTACCCAGTCTGGAACCTGGGTGGTGGTCTGCCCTGTGGTTAATTTTACAAATTCTGTTTAGGGTCAGAGCTGTGCATGCACAGCTCAGAGATAAGCCAGGAGCTTATATACAACGTTATGGGATGCTCTCTTTATCGCACTCCTTTCTCTGGTCACCCCGTTACTTTCCAGCTTGCTAGGGCCTTCCTTTTTGGTTCTCTGGCCAGAAAGCTAAGGCTTTAATCTCTTTCTTCTGCCAGGCACTTCCTGTGACTATGTCTGCATCTGGAGCCAGGCTGAAGGACTGAGAGAAACAAAAAGCAATGGAGATTAGTTCCACACTCTTGGAACCACAGTGCCTCTGCTTAGAAAGAAAGGTTCCCGTCCTTCAGAGTCACTGTGCTGCTGCCTCCACTAATGCCATGGTGTTGGCTGGCACCTGGGAGAGGAGAGAAGGAAAAAGACCTGGGGAATTTCCTCCACTGTCTCCAAACTTTAGGAGTCCCCTTTTCTACTCCTTGGGCTACAAAAAAAGGGGACTTTCCTTGGAACTCTTTTTGTCCTTATTTGAAACATACTTCTGAGTTTAGAGCTTCTTTTTCCACCCCATGGAGGGGGAAAAAGGGTAAACTTATCCCTGATGTGATGGAACGTCTCATTCTTGTCATTTTTCTCAATCTTCTTTCTACCTTTTACTTTTGAGTCCTCAGATGGCTGCTCCACATATTCTGTGTCCAGGAGTTACAGTTGTGTACAGTGGGAGACACAAAGTAGACTGTAGTTACTCCATCTTCTCCAGAAGTAGAACTTTTTTTTTTTTTTTTTTTAGTAAATAGAGATTGGGTCTCATTGTGTTGCCCAGGCTGGTCTCAAAGCCCTGGCCTCAAGTGATCCTCCCTCAGCCTCCCAAAGTGCTGGGATTACACGTGTGAAGCCCCATGTCCAGCCTCTATTGCCTCTATTATGTTTTGAATCTGTAAATTATATCAGATACCTCATTAATCTTAAACAGTTCTGAAAGATAGTTGTCGTTCCTGTTTCACAGATGAAAAGAGCAGACACAGGTAGTTATTTTTCCAAAATCATGTAAGTAATAAATGGTGGGAAAAAAATCTAACAATGATGTTTCATGAATTATATTTACTTAACATTTAGAACTTTAAATTCTAAGTATATCATGTATTTTTCTGTTTTCAATAGAAAAGAAACATTTGTTTGCATAGGAATTCATGAAGGTGACCCATCCTGGAAAAAGAACTATTCACTTTGGCCATGGGGGTCTTGTGACAAACTGGTTCCTTTGGAGATTGTATTCAACCCTGAGGAATGGATTAAACTTACAAAAAATATCTATAACTGGACCGAAGAATATGGAAGGTATGAACAGCAGTTGCCTTTTGGTGCATATAAATATAGCAGTTTTGAGTACCCCCAAAAAAGACATTTTGAGATGCCTTTTAATTTTACTTTTTATTGCTAATATTGTTACTTGCTACCGACAGAATACCGTAAAACGACAAAAAGAGAATATGTCTTTGTCATCCTCCTATTTACAGAACAAGGGGGAGAGGGGTGCTGTGGTTGCGTGGATTCCATGATGGTTAGATGCATGGCACCTTCTACTTCCGGGTCTTTGAATGCTGTCTTGTCCACCATCCTACATCTCATTACCCTAAAAGTGGAAGAGGTTCATTAACTGCAGTTGAACTTTAAAAGGCATTCTGTTGTTTATGGTAGTTTCCATATGTACAAACTTGTCATATTTTTTCTTTAAGAATGGCAGATTAACTTCTCTGTGAGGGAAGACTCAGATTTGAGTAGCTCTGTTTTCACGGTTTCTTGGCATCAATCTGGTTATGTTGTTGAGGCATTACTAGCCTTCCTTTAAGCATTTCTACATAGACTACTCTTTTCTATATAGAAAATGAGTCACTATCTAGGCTGCTCTACCTACAGAGCAGCGATTCTGTTTTTTTTTTTGAGACCGAGTCTCGTTCTGTCTCCCAGGCTGGAGTGCAGTGGCGTGATCTTGGCTCACCACAACCTCCATCTCTTTGGTTCTAGTGATTCTGCTGCCTTAGCCTCCGCAATAGCTGGGACTACAGGCGTGTGCCAACACGCCTGGCTAATTTTTGTATTTTTAGTAAAGACGGGGTTTCACCATGTTGGCCAGGCTGGTCTCAAACTCCTGACCTTATGATCTGCCTGACTATTGCTTATAATTTAAGAGCAACCGACAAGATTATATTTTAAAATGCTGTAAAGGTTTTTTGAAAAGTCAGCATGTACACATGTGGATAATCAAAGCACTGTGGGACCGTCATAAGAAAAAGCCAGAACAGCTGGCAACTAGAACATATACGTAACGTTGCTCATTATCCCCATTCTATCAAAATATATACATAAGAAAGTTTTTAATTAAGAGAAGGAAAAATCAAATGTCTTGCCCATTGTTCTCTGAGCAGCATCATAGCTCCAGCAGTGATTTTCCAAGCCAGGAGTCCCCTCTCTTCAGACTGATCCCCTTGTTTCACAGTTCTTCGGCTCTTACCTCTGTCCATAGAGTGACCTACACCTCACCTCTGCCCTGCTGCCATCTAACATCTAGTTCTTAGGAACAGCTGGCTCCCTAGGTACTTGCAGTATCTTTCCATTAATCTGTTTGCTGTTTTGAGGCATGGGAGCTCAGTATGCAGATTAAAAACACATTTACCAAAACTCAAACTTCCTTGTAATTCAGCTTATTTAGGAGAACAAGTTTATTCTTTTGATCACTGTCAGTATTTCAAGATTCAGCTTCCTTCATTGGCCTTGTCAGATTATATGTCATGGTGTATCCATTGCAAAACTCTGGAGGGTGGCCAGACATGGTGGCTCACACCTGTAATCCCAGCACTTTGGGAGACCAAGGTGGATGACTCACCAGAGCTCAGGAGTTTGAGACCAGCCAACATGGCACCACTCCATCTCTACTAAAAATACAAAAATTAGCTGGGTGTGATGGTGGGCACCTGTAATCCCAGCTACTCAGAGGCTGAGGCAGGAGAATCACATGAACCCGGGACGTGGAGGTTGCAGTGAGCAGAGAGCGCACCATTACACTCCAGCCTGGGCAACAAAAGTGAAACTCCATCCCAAAAAAAAAAAAAAAAAAAAAAAAACTAAAAATGTGGATGACAGATATTACTGTTTTTTTGTAACTACAGGTTTGATCCATCTTCTTGGGAATCTGTGGCCAATGAAGAAATGTGGCAAGCAAGGTAAACTAATCTATGTTTTTGTGTTTGTAGTCTGTTTTTAAATGTGGCAGAGAAGTAGCCTATGGCATTTTTGACAGTAGGGGTGAGTAGTGATCATAAAAATAGCATTTATGAGCGTTTATGTTTTTGAGGCACTATACTAGTCCTTATACAGGAATATCTCAGTTCATCCACACAATAACCTATGAGGAAGTTATGATCCCCATTTTGTAAAAGAGCAAACTGGACGTGGAAAGGTTACTTGTCCAAGGACATATACCTGCTAGTGATGAAGTCAAAACCTCACTTCTGTCTGCCTCTAGAACACTCGTATCTCCTATGCTTACTTGCCTTAACTAAAGTGAGTGTAATCCATTGAGTAGAAGTTAATCATTACAAACCTGCCTCCATTTGTAATGTGCCTGTTAATTAGTTAAGCACTTAATACTAGAGGCCAGGCACTGTGCTCAGCATTGAAGCTACACATTTGAATGACACAGTTCCTATCCTCATGAAGCTTATAGTCTAATGAGCAGACACATGTTAAAGGAGATTGAAATATTAATCTGATGGATGCTATACTTTCCTGTTGTTCAGAGAGGAGAGAGGTCATCCTGTCCTGGATGGAACATTTCATAGTGATGCTACTGCTTCTTTCGGTTCCTGTCATTGTTTTTTTTTTAAATCAAAGTAACACTAACAAACTTTGGCCTAAGTATTAATGTAAAAGTCCTAAGTCATGCAGACAGGAGTATCTTGTACATATGGAGTGCTTCCTTCAGCAAAAATGTATTGATGCACAGTCTGAGCTAGGGATTGCGCACTGAGAACAGTGACGATATAAAGAGCTTACATAAGTTTAAAGAGGTCTTTGCAAATATATATATATATACACACACTATGGTTTATGCAATAGTATTTTTGAATGAGTCAGAAAATGGCATATTTTGTCAGTCTAGTCATAGGAACAAATTTGCACAATTTATTGTGATTGGGTGTGGGAAAGCTGGAAAGAAATCACATAAAAGAAGAAAGCAGGTCATTATTTGGGCAGGTGTTGATTTAATTGGTGTGCTGAACACAACCTGGATCAGTTCATGGGGTCTACAGGTCTAGCAGCCTTTGAAGAACTGGGCACACATAGCATGAGCTTCGTGATGGGTACCTTCAGGGATGTGTTGGCAAACTCAGCAAGCTTCCCTTTTCCTGGCTTCTCTTGCATAATAATAACGTACATTTGGAGGCAGAATGGTATGTAATAGTGATGAAGAATGTAAGCTTTCATTCTAAAGGATTAGTGTGAATGCAGCATCTTAGGGGGTGACTGGAGGGATTGTTGTTGGTTCAGAGCAAATGTCCATGAATATGAGAGAATTGAAAATGATACAGTAAAGGATTTTGTATATCCCTTATCAGTGGAGAAGCCTGGAAAGATTTAGCCCTGAATGTGCAATTGGCTGTGTGATTTTAATGAAGGTTCCTATCCCCACTCCCAGGATGAAAACACCGTTCTTCATCTTTAACCTTGCAGAAACTGCTAACATGCCTTCAGCAATGAAAGCTCAACTCTACACTCATGCATATGACGTATGTTATACTTTTATTATTATACTCTAAGTTCTGGGGTACATGTGCAGAACATGCAGGTTTGTTAAATAGGTATACATGTGCCATGGTGACTTGCTGCATCCATCACCCTGTCACCTACATTAGATATTTCTCCTATCGCTTCCCCATCCTCCCATCCCTTGACAGGCCCCCTGGTATGTTATGTTCCCCTCCCTATGTCTGTGTGTTCTTACAGTTCAACACCCACTTATGAGTGAGAACATGCAGTTTTGGTCTTCTGTTCTTGTGTCAGTTTGCTGAGAATGATTTAAAATCCTTTGGGTATATACCCACTGATAGAAATACCATTCGACCCAGCAATCCTTTTTTTTTTTAATTTTACTTTAGGTGCATACTGTATCTGACATTTCTGTCCATGTTATCCCTCCCCAGCCCCCACTGCCTCTCTCCTACCGCCCCATCTGCCCCCAGTGTGTGATGCTCCTGTACCTGAGTCCACATGTTCTCATTGTTCAACACCCACCTATGAGTGAAAACATGTGGTGTTTGGTTTTCTGTTCTTGTGTCAGTTTGCTGAGAATGATGGTTTCCAGTTTCATCCATGTCCCTGCAAAGGACATGAACTCATCCTTTTTTATGGCTGCTTACTATTCCTTGGTGTATATGTACCACATTTTCTTTGTCCAGTCTACTACTGATGGGCATTTGGGTTGGTTCCAGGTCTTTGCTATTGTAAACAGTGCTGCAATGAACATTCGTGTGCACGTGTCTTTATAGTAGAACAATTTGTAATCCTTTGGATATATACCCAGTAATGGGATCGCTGGGTCAAATGGAATTTCTATTTCTAGATCCTTGACAAATCGCCACACTGTCTTCCACAATGGTTGAACTAATTTATGCTCCCACCAGCTGTGTAAGAGTGTTCCTATTTCTCCACATTCTCTCCAGTATCTGTTGTCTCCAGATTTTTTAATGATCGCCATTCTAACTGGTGTGAGATGGTATGTCAATGTGGTTTTGATTTGCATTTCTCTAATGAGTAATGATGATGAGCATTTTTTCATATGTTTGTTGGCCTCATGTATGTCTTCTTTTGAAAAGTGACTGCTCATATCGTCCGCCCACTTTTGAATGGGCTTGTTTTTTTCTTGCAAATCTGTTGGTTGCCGGTTTGCTCTAATGATGGTTTATTGTGCTGTCCAGAAGCTCTGAATTTTAATTAAATCCTTATCTTGGCTTGTATTGCCATTGCTTTTGCTGTTTTAGTTATGAATTCCTTGCCTATGCCCTGGATGGTTTTGTCTACGTTTTCTTCTAGTGTTTTTATGGTGTTGGGTTTTATGTTTAATCCATCTGGAGTTAATTTTAGTGTCAGGTGACAGGAAGGGGTCCAGTTTCTGCTTTCTGCACATTGCAAGGCAGTTTAAACTTATTAAACAGGGACTCCTTTCCCCATTGCTTGCTTTTCTCAGGTTTGTCAAAGATCAGATGGTTGTAGGTATGTCATTATTTCTGAGGCCTCTGTTCTGTTCTGTTGGTCTATATCTCTGCTTTGGTACCAATACCATGCTTTTTATTACTGTGGCATTGTAGTATAGTTTGAAGTCAGGCAGCATGATGCCTCCAGCTTTGGGTTTTTTTTTTGCTTAGGATTGTCTTGGCTATACAGGCTCTTTTTTGGTTCCATATGAAATTTAAGGTGTTTTTTTTCCCAATTCTGTGAAGAAAGTCAATGGTAGCTTTGAATCGGTAAATTAATTTCAATTACATAATGGTAAAGGGATCAATTCAACAAGAAGAGCTAACTATCCTGAATATATCTGCACCAGTACAAGAGCAGCCAGATACATAAAGCAAGTTGTTAATGACCTACAAAGAGACTTCTTAGACTCCCACACAATAATAGTGGGGGACTTTAACACCCCACTGTCGATATTAGATCAACAACAACACAGGTAATTAACAAGGATATCCAATACTCTTGGCGGACAAGAGCCGCCCCTACAGGTTTAGTAGGGTCCTGCCAGTGAAGGACCTATCTACAGAACTCTCCATCTCAAATCCACAGAATCTACATTCTTCTCAGCACCACATCACACTTACTTACTCTAAAACTGACCACATAATTGGAAGTAAAACACTCCTTAGCAAATGCAAAACAATGGAAATCATAACCCTGGCACCACCGCAAGCCTCAGCCAGAACACCCTGAACCTCCGCCTTTGATCCCTGCTCCAGCTCTTGTCCCCTCCCCCTCTCCAATTTCTACCTTCACCCCACACCTGCTCCCCCTCGGAGAAGTGGTGGCGTTGGAAGTCATTGTCCATGTCTCTATCTGATCCCTCCCAAATCAAAAAGCACCTCAGGTCTTTCTCCTCTGATCCAGACACTTACATCAAATAATTTAAATCTCTTAACCCAGTCTTATGAACTTACCTGGTGTGATCTGCATATTATCCTCTCCTCTACTGTCCTCCCCGAAGAGAAGGAAGGTGTGTGGCTTGCAGCACCGGCACATGCTGATGACCTTCACTGGCAGGACCCTACTAAACCTGTAGGGGTGGCTTTTGTCATCCAAGAGGAGCCAGCCTGGGAATATCAGCCTACAGATCTAAGCATCTTGTAACTACATGATTTCTTGCCTCATGGCAGGCCTTAACAAAGCTGCCCATAAGGCTATAAATTTTGAAAAGCTCAAAGAAATTTCCCAGAAAGCAGATGAAAACCCTGCCCAATTCCTCTCCTGCCTGACAGAGGCTCTGCAGAAATATACCCACGTTGACCCTGCCTCCCGAGCAAGGACTATTGTCCTTAATACCCATTTCATCTCCCAGTCTGCCCCCAACATCCAGCATGAGCTCAAAAAGCCTGAAGATGGCCCTCAAACCCCACAAGAAGACCTCCTTAACCTGGCTTCAAGGTCTTCAGTAATAGGGATGAACAAAGTAAAATAGACAAGGCCCAGAGAGATGGTGCTAAATACCAGCTTCTAGCAGCAGCCATTTGCCAACCTGGCTATGGCACCCAGGAGTACAAAAAACCTGACAGCAGTGCACTTCCGGGGGCATAGGCCATTGGGCACGGGCATGTCCCAATTCACGGGTGCCAGAAAGCCCTTGCTCCATCTGCCAGCAGATAGGCCACTGGAACTCTGACTGTCCTCTCAGCAGGCAGACAGAAAAGCCTGTACCTCCAACCCATAACCCCTTCACCAAGACAAAAGGTGAAGAATCACTTGCACCCTTGCAGCTCCTTGGCTTGGCTGCTGAAGACTGATGAGGCCCAAGGCCCTATCTGCCATCACTGCATCAGAGCCCAGTGTAACTCTACTAGTGACAGGTAAGCCGATCTCTTTTTTAATAATACCGGGGCCACATACTCAGCTTTGCCTGAATTCCCAGGACCAACTCATCTCTCTCCAGTCTCAGTTGTGTGAGTTGATGGACTTGCCTCATATCCACAGGCCAGCAAGCCCCTTACTTGTTCTTTATTTAATACTGTTTTCTCACTCTTTTTTATCATGCCTTGCTGTCCTACTCCCATTCTAGGCAGGGACGTCCTAGCCAAATTCAGAGCTTCCATCACCTTCCTCTGGCCCCCACAACCAGACTCTCTCCTCCTCCTCTCCGCTACCACACCAGCCCTTGACCCCTCCCACCAGTACCCACTCCCCGCCTCCCTTGTTAATCCAATAGTGTGGGATACTACCATCCCTTCCGTAGCAGTACACCATGACCCCCATCAAAATCCAATTAAAGGACCCCTCCAAATTTCCTAGGATTCTTCAATGTCCCATCTCATTAAGCCATCAAAGAGGCTTACAGCCCATCATAAACTCCTCTCACACAGCAGTCTCAGACGAACCCATTCTCCGTATAATACTCCCATACTCCCTGTCAAAAAGGCAGACACTTCTTGACTAGTCCAGGCTGTCAGGCAGTCCCTCCCATCTATCCAGTAGTTCCCAACCCTTACGTGCCCCTCTCCTCCCTTCCAACACAACCCACTATACCGCCATCGATCTGAAAGATGCCTTTTTTACTATTCCCCTTCATCCTAACTCCCAAAATCATTTTGCCTTCACTTGAACTGATCCTGACTCCCTCCAGTCACAACTCGCATGGACCGTCCTCCCCCAAGGTTTCATGGACAGTCCTCATTTCTTCTGGCAAGCTCTGGCTCAAGACCTCACTTCTCTAGACCTTTCTCCTAGTCGGCTTCTCCAGTATGTGGATGACCTCCTTCTCTGTAGCCCCTACCAAGAGGACTCTCAAACTCACACCATTACCCTTTTGAACTTTATCACTAATAAGGGATACAGGGTCTCCCCCTCTAAAGCACAACTTTAGGAGTCCAGCTCTGCCCTGGGACCCGAGCCATGACCTCAGCACAGACAGCACTAATAGACAGCCTGCCCCCACCCATCTCAAAAAATGAAATCCTTTCTTTCCTAAGGCTAGCAGGTTTCTTCAGAATATGGATTCCCAATTTTGCCCTCCTAGCCTGCCCACTCTGTGAACCTGCCAAAGGCCCTCTAAATGAGCCCCTTCACACAACATAATCCCAAGCTTTCACAAATTTAAGGCTGCCCTTGTCACCCCTCCTGCTCTGTTTCTGCCTGACGTCTCTCAGTCATTCACTCTGTACACAGCTGAAAAACATGGAATAGCCCTTGGCATCCTTGGCCAACAAAAAGGACGTCCCCCCTCCTTTGCTCCCGTAGCTTACCTCTCTAAACCAGACACCACTGCTCAAGGATGGCCAACCTGCCTCCGAGCCCTAGCAGCAGCTGCCACCCTAGCCTTGGAAAGCAAAAAACTAACATTCGGTCAAGACACCACTGTTCGCAGCTCACATAATTTATAAGATATCCTCTCCTCCCGAGCCCTACGTACCCTTTGCCCTTCTGGTATCCAACTACTCCGTGCCCTCTCTCGAAAAACCTGAGTTCTGCCTCTCCAAAAGTGCTCCCCTAACTCCAGCATCTCTACTTCCACTGTCTTCCTCCCCTCCTCCTCACTCCTGTACTGAAGTCCTTGATCACTTGCAGCCTCATTTCCCTAATATCTCCCCTGAGCCTCTCCCCGATCCTGACGATCAGTTATTCATAGATAGCTCCTCTTCTAAATCAGCCAACTCCCATGAAATCACAGAGTATGTAGTTGTCACTGTTGACTGAGTAATTGAAACTAAACCCCTACCCTCATGGAACCTCCTCCCAAAAAGCAGAACTTAAAACTCTCACTAGAGCTGTAACCCTTTCCAAAGGGAAATGTGTCAACATTTTCACAGACTCCAAATATGCCTACTATATCCTTCACTCCCATGCCGCTGTTTGGCAGGAAAGAGGATTTCTTACTGCCAAAGGAACCTCCATCACTACTGGTCCCCTTATTTACCAATGCCCCCAAGCTGCACACCTCCCAGCTACAGCAGGAGTTATACACTGCCGAGGACACCAGACAGGATCAGGTGAAATCTCGGGAGGGAACAGAAAGGCCAACAAGGCAGCAAAAGAAGCCTCCCTTTCCTCTGTCCCTGCCCCTGTCCTCCTCATCACTCCCACAATCCAACCCCAGCATTGCCCTGCTGAATTGTTCACTACTGCAACAAGGAGCCTCCTTCCAGAGGAGCTGGATAGTCAAAAATCACAAACTCATCCTCCCTCAAGAACAAACTAAGGAAATTCTGACAGCTCTTCACCAATCCCTTCATATCGGTGCACGCCCCCGTACCTTCTCCGTCGCCCTTACTTCTCTTCTCCCCACCTATTTACCACACTAAAGGACATACCCTCCATCTGTGATGTATGCTCTGACTTCCTCTCAAGGGGCCCTCTACCCTCCTCCCATCCCCACACACCAACTAAGAGGATCATTCCCAGGAGAAGACTGGCAAGTACACTTCACCCACATGCCTCCTGTCAAAATAAACTAGGTTTCTTCTTATCCCCTAGACACCTTCTCTAGGTGGGTAGAAGCGCCCCCACCTCCTCAGAAAAGGCTGCAGTAGTCTCCCAAATTCTTTTAACAGAAATCATCCCTAGATTTGGTCTCCCGCACTCCATACAATCAGACAGCGGCCCTAGCTTCATCTCCCAAATCACCCAACAAGCCTCTCAGTCCCTCAGCGTCCAGTGGTGCCTGCGTATCCCATACCGACCCCAGGCCTCCGGAAAAGTAGAAAGGGCAAGTGGGATCCCTAAGACTCAGCTAACCAAACTCTCTCGAAATCCAAAAGCGCTGGACCTCCCTTCTGCCCAAAAGCACCCTCCTGAGCCCATTTGAGTTACTGTATGGATGCCCTTTCCTCTTACAAAACAGGCCCCTCTTAACTCTCCACTAGGAGAGTATCTCCCAACACTCCCCCTCATCGGATACCTCCTCCAAAAACACGCCGGCCGGACCCTCCTAAGGCCTCGCGAAGGCCCAGCTAACCAGGCCCTACTCCCCAGAGAATATGTTTCCTAAAAACCCTCAATCCCACAAGCCTTAAACCAAAATGGGAAGGCCCCTTCCAGGTTCTCCTCACCACCCCCACGGCGGCCAAACGCTCAGGACTTACTTCTTGATATCATCTTTCCACGTTAAAACAGGTCCCCAAGGCCCCCACTGGTCCGTCTACTCCTTCCTCGCCAGCCATTCGTCAGTACTGCAGCGTCGTCCTCGGGCCAACCAGACTCCATCTCACATCCATTCCAGAGGCCCTGCCACCAGACAGTTGGGCAAAATTACCCCACTTGTTCCTGCTCCTTTTACAAATCAAGTGTTATAACGCCCTTAAATGGAAATTGCTTACCACATCCTCCTCGTGGGAATGGCCTTCCTCCCTCTCGTTTGCAGTAGGTGTATGTGCTGTAGACCCCTCAGTGTGGAACAGCAAGCAGAGAGCCTTCACTGCCATAATTTTTTGCCTAATCATTGCACTAATAGCAGGAGTAACAGTCACTAGTAAATAATTACCCTCTTTTTTATGTCCTGTATTTGTTCTTGTTGCTTTGCTGTCTCACAGAGGATATTATGTGGTTCTTCCCTGAAGAACCTACTCTCATTTCTACCTTGGATAACTGACCTTACCTTCCAAGGCACCCTGTGCAGTTTCACCCCAGATAAAGTCCAGTTTTCTACCTTGATCCTTACCCTTTGCTTATTTGCTACTCCTACCCCCTCTCGCCAACACCTACACCCCATCCCTTGCCATGCTACCTTCACCACACTCTCGACTCAGTTCCAACTAAACCAGTGTATCCCAGCTCTGGCAAGCAGCTGTTGGCTGTGCCTCTGTCTCGGACACTGCCTACACTGCCGTCCTCTTCCCCACACAAGACTGGATCCATACCAGAGTAACCTTTCACCCCACTTTCAATTAGGGGGACTTTTTCAGTATAATTTACAGCAACTAATACAACTCTGTAAATCCTTCACAGAACATAACAAACCTCAGTCTCCCACTGGACAAGCAGTTCTGTTATCACGCCGATATCTCACCTCCCTTACTCCCTATGTCAGTCAAGCTCAGCCTCTACTAAACCCCATCACCACACAAACAGCTCTGCTCTCTCAGACCCCACTGTGCGTTCAGCGCCATTCCCCGACCGGCCACCACATAGGCCACCTGCCCCCGAACAGCGTAACTTCACAACTCAAACCCTCCACCGACCATACCAACCAAAACATATTCAAAACTCCTCTAGGACTCAACATCACCCTACTCCTTAAGAAGAAGTCAGGCTTCTGCAATGGCAGACACTGTCTCTGCTTAAGTCTCCATCCCTGGCTGCCCTCCTATGAAACCGAGTCACCTAAAACTCAAGACTGTCTCCTCCACCCATTCTTTACCAACAGCTCCTCACTGGATTCTGGTAGACACCGAATGCATCTTACTGCACTGGGAAAATAAAGCACCGCAGGGCACTCATACTCCTCCTAATGCACCCCTGCAGCCACACTTGCAGGGACGTTAAAAAACAACAAATTTTCACATCTTTTCAACATACACAACCAATTCTGTCTGCCAAGCTAAGGTGTCTTTTTATGCGGCACCTCCACCTATATTTGCCTCCCCACTAATTGGACTGGCACCTGTACCCTAGTATTCCTCAGCCTAAAAGTTAGTATAGCCCCAGGTAACCAATCCTTATCCATCCCAGTCAGCACTCCTATGCTGCACCGCCCAACGGTGCAGCTCATACCTCTGCTGTGGGACTAGGAGTAGCTACAGGCATTGCAGGCACTGCAGCAGGAACTGCCGGGCTTTCCAACTCTCTCTCCTGCTATGGCTCCATCTCCAAAGTCCTTACAGACAGTATAGAGGACATGACCAAGTCCATTTCTACCCTCCAAACACAAATAGATTCACTGGCTGCAGTTGTCCTCCAGATCCACAGAGGCCTGAATCTACTTACCCTTGAAAAAGGTGGGTCTCTGCGTCTTCCTAGACAAACAATGTTTCTATCTCAAGCAATCCAGAATAGTGCAAGATGCAGTCAAAAGACTCAAAGACCGAGCCCAGAAATGAAAACAATTCTTCTGCCTGACCCTCCTGGCCCAGCTGGTCTCTCAGCTCATCTCTTAGCTCCTGGGCCCCTTGGCTACTTCCTCTCCTTAACCATGCTGTAACTCTCCCCCTTCTCTTGGTCTTTGGCCCTTGTCTCCTACGTCTTTTCAGCCAGATTTTGCAGAATCAATTACTAGCCTTTATCTGCAGTGCAATACAAGACATGATGGTATTCCAGGACTAAAACTTGCATGCCAGCCTCACCCCAACCAGCGTCCCTACTCAGCATGAAGCAGCTAGAAATGAACAGCACCCCTTCTCCCTTTCTTTTACATATATCACAAAAGGCTGGAATGTTAGGGTCACAGCAAGGCAAGCCCATAGACCCCCTCCCCGTTCTCCCCTGCTAAGCTGAGCTCACAACAAAAACAGCCTCAGGCCTTGTAAACAGGGCACCTGGGTTCCAGGATGTGGTCCCACCCAGCTCTCAAGCCCAGGATGGTGACCCAATTAAGCAGAATGTTAACACCTAAGAACCAAGATGCGGTTCTTCTTAGAATAGCACCAGCTACCTGCAAACCCCCTATATAACTCCCGTAGTCTGTAGGCCAGGCTGCGGCCTTCGCTGCCTGTGGAGAGGCAGCTGGCCTGGCAGGTTGAAATAAACTTTCTAAACCTGAGCCTGGGTCTGCCTCTCCATCCTTTACATCAACCTTACAGTTTCATTCTCCCCATCACTTTCAGGTACACGAATCAAATGTAGGTTTGGTCTTTTCACATAATCCCATATTTCTGGGAGGCTTTGTTCATTTCTTTTCACTTTTTTCTCTAATCTTGCCTTCTCGCTTTATTTCATTGAGTTGATTTTCAGTCTCTGTTGTCCTTTCTTCTGCTTGATTGATTTGGATATTGAAACTTGTGTATGCTTTGTGAAGTTCTCGTGCTGTGTTTTTCAGCTCCATCAAGTCTATGCAGGTTATTCTAGTTAGCATTTCATCAAACCTTTTTTTCAAGGTCCTTAGCTTCCTTGCATTACATTAGAACATGCTTCTTTAGCTTAGAGAAGTTTGTTCATACTCATCTTCTGAAGCCTGCTTCTTGTCAGTTTGTCAAACTCATTCTCCATCCAGTTTTGTTCCCTTGGTGGTGAGGAGTTATGATCCCTTGGAGGAAAAGAGGCGTTCTGGTTTTTGGAGATTTTAGCCTTTTGCACTGGTTTCTTCTCATCTTCGTAGATTTATCTACCTTTGGTCTTTGAAGTTGGTGCCCTTTGGATGGAGTCTCTGCGTGGACTTCCTTTCTGCTGATGTTGAAACTATTTTGTTCTGTTAGTTTTCCCTCTAACAGGCCCCTCTGCTACAGGTCTGCTGGAGTCTGCTGGAGGGCTACGCCAGAACCCGTTTGCCTGGGAATCATCAGCAGGGGTTGCAGAACAGCAAATGCTGCCGCCTGTTCCTTCCTCTGGTAGTTTCACCCCAGAAGGGTACCCGCCAGAGCTCTCCGGCAGGAGATGTCTTTCAGCCCCTGCTGGGAGATGTCTCTCAGTCAGGATACACAGGGGTCAGGGAGCCACTTGAGGCGGCAGCCTGTCCCTTATTAGAGCTCGAACGCTATGTTGGGAGATCTGTTGCTCCCTTCAGAGCTGCTGGGCAGGAATGTTTAAGTCTGCTGAAGCTGTACCCAGAATCACCTCTTTTCCCAGGTGCTCTGTCCAGGAAGGTAGGGGCTTTATTTATAAATACCTGATGGGCTGCTGCCTTTTTTCTGAGATGCCTTACCCAGTAAGAAAGGAGTCTAGTGACAGTCGGCCTCCAGAGGCCTTGCTGAGCTGCTGTGGGCTCCACCCAGTTGCTCTGTAAATTTCCCAGTGACTGTTTACACAGGCAAGGTTATAACTGCCCACTCGAACCTCAGCAATGGCAGATACCCCTCCCCCCACCAAGCTCAACTGTCCCACGTGGAGCTCAGACTGCTGTTCTGGCTGTGAGAATTTCAAGCCAGTGGGTCTTAGCTTGCTGGCCTTTGTGGGGGTGGGACCCACGGAGCCAGATCACTTGGCTCCCTGGCTTCAGCCCCCTTTTTCAGGGAAATGAGTGTTCTGTCTCACTGGTGTTCCAGGCACCACTGGGATATGAAAAAAAAAAAAAAAAAATCTGCTGTGGCTAAAACGGCCACCCAGTTTTGTACTGGAAACCTGGGACACTGGTGTTGCAGGCACCAGAGGGAATCTCCTGGTCTGGGGGTTGTGTAGACCATGGGAAAAGCACAGTATCTGAGCCAGAGTGTCAGGAAAAGCCCCTAATGGCTTCCCTGGGCTAGGAGAGGGAGTTCTCCCACCCCTTGTGGCCTCCCAGGTGAAGTGATGCCCCACCCTGCTTCAGCTTGCCCTCCTTGGGCGAGCACCCACTGTCTAACCAGTCCCAATGAGATGAACCTGGTACCTCAGTTGGAAACGCAGAGATCACCTGGCTTCTGTGTTGCTCTCGCTGGGAACTGTGCGCTGGAGCTGCTCCTATTCGGCCATCTTGGCAGAAGCCCCTGTCACACTTTTACATATAGTGGTGGGAAGGTGACGGTGATTGTTCAGGATGGTTAGAGGTTGTATCACATTAGAGTTTTCATCCTTTCATTTCCATCTTAATTTGGATGTTATAAAGCAGCATGTATGAACAAATGCTCAGTTGTATCACCATATCCAAAGTAAATGGCTGTGGTAGGCAGAATAACACCTCCCAACCAAAAAAGATGTCTTATGTCCTAATCTCCAGAACCTGTGAGTATGTTACCTGTGTAACAAAGTGGGGTTTGGGAGGGATTAAGTTAGGAGTCTTGAGACGGGGGTTATCCCAGATTATCCAGGTGGATCCGTCATAATCATCAAGGTCCTCATAAAAGGGAAGCAGGGAGGTCAGAGTCAGAGAAGTGGACGTGATGCAGAAGCAGAGGGCAGAGAGAGACAGACACATGAAGATTCTACACGCTGACTGCAGATGGAGTAAGGGGCCATTAGTGAAAGAGCGCAGGCCGCCTCTGGAGGAGGCTGGAAAGGGTCAGGAAACAGATTCTCCTCTAGGCCTCCTCAAGGAACACAGTCATGCTGGTTTTATGACTTCTCACCTCTGGAAGTGCAAGATAATAAGTATATGTTGCTTTAAAACACAGCTTTAAACCACACATAATAAATGTATGTGGTAATTTGTTACAATGGCAATAGGAAACTGATATAATAGCTTCATATAAAACAAGGTCTAGCAGGTTGCTCTCTATGCAAAATTCATTACCTGGCTACACTTGAAATGCCAAGGCCATGGCTTGTTGAGATTTCATGAGAGGAGATCAACAGTCATGGAGGTTGGCTCCGTCTTCTAACTGTGGCCCCAGGAAGGCAAACGAACCTTTGGAAGACACAACCACACTGAAGTTCTTGCACAAATCTGTCCTCTCTGATGGGAAGCAGGAACAGATACAGGAGACTTGCTGTGGCACTATTTAAGAGTCTCTACTTTTCTGGGACTATGGCACTGGGCACTTTGGACACTTGCATAATAGTCTGCTGTGTAAGAAACTAGTATCCTGACAAGGGACCATAAAAACAGAGCATAGGACCTGTATGTCTGGGCTGCTGTTTTTGCTATTATCTCTAGACTGCTGTGGTTCTACTCAGCCAGGGCAAGTGTTTGGCGCTAAATCAAAATAACCTGGTGTCCAATCAGCGTGACCACTTTTATTCCTAAACTGTGATCACTAGTTCCTTGTTTATTCACTTACTCATCCACTTACAAGGCATTTCTTAAGCACCCACTCCATGCAAATAGTGTATTGGAGACAATCAAGTCTTATCCCTGCTATCAAAAAGGCGTCAGGCTAGAGAGGGAGACAGAAGATCAGGTCCTCAGTCACAGTTCATTCTTGTGAGTTCTGCGAGAGGCATACAGAGGTGCTATGGAAACTCAGAGCACTGGACCGGAGCAAGCTGGGGAGTAGGCTGGCAAGGGAGGCAGGAAGGGAAGGCTTCCAGAGGGGACGTCATTGGAGTGTCATCTTGAAAGATCAGAAGGAGCTAACCAGACAGATGGTGGGGCAAGGAGGCGAGAGAGGGAGGGGAGAGCAGTCCATAAGGAGCGAGCCATGGGGGCAAAGGCAGAACCCTCCGAGGCACCCCACTTGTGGACAGCAAGATACCTGATTATAGAAGGCAGCATGCTGGAGTTCTGTCTGGAAGTAGGGAGGCCCAGCTTCTAGGCCCACTCTGCCATTAGCTGTCAACTGTGAGTCAATGAACCTTTCCAGGCCTTGATTTTTTTTTTTTCTGAAAAAGAAAAAACAAAGGGGGCTTTAAATTTTTTTAAAAGATTGTCCTTCATATCCTGTTCATAGCATAATGCTGTTTATCTCCAGTATCTTGTAATTCTGTGAAAAACAAGCAATATTTAGTTGGGAGAGATAGGAGACTTACTGTTTTATATTCTCATCAGTGATCTCTCCCATGGTCAGTTAGGCTACTACTAAAGCTCGTCTGTGGATTTGTTATTGTCCCTTTGGGTCAGTAAGGCTTATTTTTTTTTCAGTGAACACAGATTATTGGTATCTCCTTTGCATAGTCTCCAGATATATGACAATGTTTACAAGACAAGTAAAGCCAATTATTTGGTGATAATTACTTAATTACCACCCCCGGTGCTAGTTTTTCAAGACTGTTCTTGTTAGGTATAAAGAATATTTTTTACAAAAAAATTAGCTGGGCATGGTGGCGCGTGCCTGTAATCCCAGCTACTCAGGAGGCTGAGGCAGGAGAATTGCCTGAACCCAGGAGGCGGAGGTTGCGGTGAGCCGAGATCGCGCCATTGCACTCCAGCCTGGGTAACATGAGTGAAACTCCGTCTCAAAAAAAAAAAAAAAAAAAATTTGTTGCAGGGTACATTATGCTACTGAATAGCTCATACAGAACATTAAGTTCAGGTGACTTAATAATTTAGGTGTGGTTGGGGAGCAGGACAAGGAGTAACCAATGTTATAGGAATAAATTGGATAAT